TCTCAAGCACAAGTGACACACAGAATATATTTCCCCTGAGCACGCAGGGGTTGGGACTGATACACACTCTTCAGGTGACCCAGGTGGTAGAGGGAAAATCTCTTCAGCCACAAATCAATCGGGTAGAAGACCTGGGCATGTTAGAAAAGTGCAATGCACCTCCTTTAAGCTTCACCTGTACTGGAAACATGAGGAATCTAGAAGAGTGCATGTTCCATTAAAAGAAGTTTAAATTCAGGAAAATAGGTCGCAACGAGTCTCCTTCAGTGTTGTTATTCTAAGTGAATAAAAGGAAACATTCCCTACACATTTAACACTTTTCTCCAGTGTGAACTCTTAGATGTTTATTAAGGTTAGATTTTTGGCTAAAAGACTTCCCACATTCAGTACACTCATGTGGCTTCTCTCCAGTGTGAACTCTGAGGTGGTCAGTGAGGTGAGCCCTTAGACGAAAGGACATTCCACATTCTCTACACTCATATGGCTTCTCTTCAGCGTGAACTCTGAGGTGGTCAGTGAGGTGAGCCCTTTGACGAAAGGACACCCCACATTCTCTACACTCATATGGCTTCTCTCCAGTGTGAACTCTGAGGTGTATAGTGAGCTGAGCCCTTGTACGAAAGAACATCCCACATTCTCTACACTCATGTGGCTTCTCTCCAGTGTGAACTCTGTGGTGTCTAATGAGCTGAGCCTTTGTACGAAAGGACATCCCACAATCTCTACACTCATATGACTTCTCCCCAGTGTGAACTCTGAGGTGTTCAGTGAGGTGAGCCCTTTGACGAAAGGACATCCCACATTCTCTACAATCATAAGGCTTCTCTCCAGTGTGAACTCTGAGGTGTATAGTGAGCTGAGCCCTTGTACGAAAGGACACCCCACATTCTCTACACTCATACGGCTTCTCTCCAGTGTGAACTCTGAGGTGTCTAGTGAGCTGAGCCCTTGTACGAAAGGACATCCCACATTCTCTGCACTTATATGGCTTTTCTCCTGTGTGGACTTTGTTGTGTTGTTTGAGGTTAGACTTGTAACTGAAGGATTTCCCACAATGTCTGCACTCATATGGTTTCTCTCCAGTGTGAACTCTAAGGTGTTCAGTGAGTGCAGGTCTTTTTCTGAAGAACTTCCCACATTCACTACATTCATACTGCTTTTCTCCAGTGTGAACTCCCTTATGTCGAATGACATTAAAGTTTTGTCTAAACACTTTCCTATATTTGTTACACTCATAAATCAGTTCTCCAGCACACACACCCTGATATTGAACAACTTTCAGGTTGTGGCTGGCAGCGTTTTCACATTCACCTGACTGGTGATGACGTTTTCCACTGAGAAATTCCTGTGAAATCTCACTGCCACAGTGTAGCTCCTCAGTGTTGAGAGTGGTCTGGTGCTGGGGAAGCTCTGAGTTGGACTGCAAGTCTTCCCCAACCTTCCTGTTGGTTGAAGGCTTTGAAGATAAGGAGAAGCTGCACCTGTTCACAAAGGAGGCCCTGTCCATAGCTTGTTTCCAGGGCCCCTCTCCACATTCATTCTTTGGTTGCTGGTGAGGGTTTGCACCGAAACAGAAGTCTCCAACATATGCGTCACTACAGAAGGCTCTCTGCTCAAAGTCTGCTGCATGAGACCCAGTCAGGTGCAAAATATGTTGTAACACAGAGAAACACCGCTTACAGAGATGGTTCTTATGGGTGGCTGGAGCTGTCTTAGAAGCCCTGACCTGTGACTCGCCTTGTATACATACACGCTGATCAGAACAGGCCTCCTCATCTTCCATTTTATGCCAACAACCTGAAAAGTGAGAAATGGTGAGGAAATGAATTTTGAATGTGATGGCAGGGAGAAGTCCCATTGCAAAAGTGTGTTACACATCACACGTTGGTTCCATGCAATTGTCTGAAAATAAGAGATGTGCAGGAAGGATTAATAAGAGGCTCTTGTGACTTTCTTGGCTAATGAAGATCACAACACAGGGAGGCCTCACCAGAAATATGACACAAACATGGCAAGCGCCACATGGAGTAGAATATGGATCTCCAGCTCATCCTTCAACTAACAGCATTCTGCACGGATTGTTTGCCGGGGATGGGGGCGAGCTGTGCAAGAAGTTGTTTAGGTCTTACTTCAAGTAAAATTCAATGAAAGAGTAGCTGGTTTTGAAGGAATTATTCGCACATATATGCACCTAATATCACGTGCAAGTCAATGTTGCAGAATACTGCAGAGGCACCAGTACAAAGAACAGTTGATGAAGAAGTGAGCAGTCCGCACTGGGCCAGAGCAACACAGCTTGCTATAGGATTCAGGGATGAGAATATTACAAACACTTGAATGAGGGCCTTACCAGAACTGCCTATGGTTCATGCAGGTAAAGACCATAATGTGGCACAAAGAACCCTTACCTAGAAAGAGGGCAAAAGTAGAAGCCATGCATGTGGACACTGTCAGCTTTCAATGACGAGAAAATGCAACCTGGGACCTATTAAACTCACTGTGAGACTCCTGACTCCCTGACACTTCCTGTACTTTTTGAGGTAATAGGTGTTAGGGATGTTCATGGAGTCCTTTGCTCAGGGCTCTCCATCCAGTTCATCCCTGGCAGCCACAGCACATTTGACAGGACAGTGGGGGAAATTAGCAGAGACAATGTTCTGGCTGTGGGAGAGAGAAAGCTATGCCTGAGGAATAAAGGAAGAGAGGTCATCACCTTGGGACACTGGGAGAATGTGAAGGTCTTACCTACAGATGATACCACTGCAAACACTTCCAGCATCACATCGCAGTACAGAAGTCTCTGAGCCTCATCCAGGATTACCCACTCCTCTTCAGAGAAAGCAATGGCCACGTCCTCAAAGTTCACATCCTGTCATAATGGGAACAGTACAGCCTATGATCAGATTCACTCTTAAGATTATAACTCTGTCATATTCCCCACCCTCCACACCCATCTGCTCTTTGCACTCTTCACATCCGAGAAAATACCAGGCCTTCATCCCATGAAAGCCACTATCTTCTTATTTTCCAGCTGATATTTTTCTTCCCACAACAATGAAGGCAATTCAGCAGATAGACCAGTGATGGCGAACCTTTTGAGCTCAGCGTGTTAGCATTTTGAAAAACCCTAACTTAACTCTGGTGCTGTGTCACATATAGAAATTTTTTGATATTTGCAACCATAGTAAAACAAAGACTTATATTTTTGATATTTATTTTATATATTTAAATGCCATTTAACAAAGAAAAATCAACCAAAAAAATGAGTTCATGTGTCACCTTTGACACACGTGTCATAGGTTCGCCATCACTGAGATAGATGATACCTGAGCTCTGGACCTCCCATGTATGCCACAATGCCTTTTATCCATAGAGTGGGTGTCAAAATATAGGTTAGTGAGGGATGTAGCCCATAAAGACAGTGTGAGTGATTTGATACTCTTCTTGTCAGGATTT